CAGACACTTTTATCCAAAGAGACTTACAAATGAGGAGAACAATAGAAGCAATCAAACTAACAATAAGGATGCTGGTTGATGTAAACCTCGAACCAGTAATCCAACAGAATGAAGAACTCAGATGAGAACGCGGGGATCAGACTCAGCAAGAAACTTTGACGAGGTAACTGGCAACGAGAACAATACATGAATAATGAACCGACAACACACAGTTCCCATGCCAGCTAGATAAAGGCAGCTCACTAGCAACAGCTGAAACTCTGATTAGACTGATCAGCTGTTGTTACTAGGCAACGCACACGCACCGAACACACACCCACATACGATAAACCCACCAGACATAAACGGAAAAAATGAACACATGGATTCATGAACCGTGCCAGTACCCCCGCACTCCCAGGAGAATTTACCTGACGATTGTAATCATCGATAAGGGAGTGATCCAGTGTGTCTCTCGCAGGCTCCCAACTCCTCTCCTCAGGACCATACCCTTCCCAGTCCACCAAGTACTGTAATCCTCGTCCCCTCCGCCTCGAGTCATGAATACAATTTACCGAATAAGCTGGTTCCCCATCTACGAGACGCGGCAGGGGAGGAACCGGGACAGGCGGATTAATAGCTGAACGAAAAAGGGCTTTAATTTGGATACATGAAACACCGGGTGAATTCTCCTGTACGAACTGCCACCGGACTAAGAATCTTGGTGACAGTAAACGGGCCAATAAATTTGGGCGCAAGCTTATTACTGACGGACCGGAGAGGAATATGTTTGGATGAAAGCCACACTTTTTGACCAACGACGTAGACGGGAGGCTTCGACCGGTGGCGATCGGCCTAGGCCTTAGTGCGCGCTCCCACCTGGTGGAGGACCTGTCTAGCCCTGCTCCAGGTGCGACGACACCTCTGGACAAAAGCGTGAGCAGAGGGGACCGCGACTTCGGATTCCATACTGGGAAACACAGGTGGCTGGTAACCTAAACTGCACTCAAACGGAGATAGGCCCGTAGCTGAAACTGGTAACAAGTTATGTGCGTACTCAAACCATGAGAGTTGGTGGCTCCAAGAGGAAGGATTCTGATGAACCAAACATCGCAACATTCGTTCTAAATCTTGGTTGGTCCTCTCCGTCTGCCCATTACTCTGGGGATGGAACCCAGAAGAGAGACTAACAGTCGCCCCCAACAAATGACAAAATTCTCTCCAAAATTTGGAAACAAACTGAGGCCCCCTGTCAGAGACCACATCCATCTGGAGGCCATGTATGTGAAAAACATGGTCAATGACAGCAACTGCTGTCTCTCTGGCAGAAGGTAATTTGGGCAGAGGGATGAAATGAGTTGCCTTCGAGAACCGGTCCACCACAGTCAAATCACTGTGTTACCCTGTGAGGGAGGGAGACTCGAAACAAAATCTAGCGAAATGTGGGACCAGGGTCTCGAAGGAACTGACAGCGGTTGAAGGGGGTCGATAGGAAGACTGAGCAAGCCAAAACAAAACAAAAAAGCCAAAACAGACAAGTAGTTGTACTTGTCTGGATGGAGCACAACCTTCTTCCTGAGGGAAGCGGGGCAAACAGTCCATAGGCAGGGTGGGAAGAGTCCTTAATAATACTGGCAGCCCTGTCCCTGCATCTACTACTGTAAATATCCTCAATTGTTGGAAAACTTCCGCCAGTAATCCTCTGTGCCGATTTCACCACACGCTGCAGACCTTTTCTGTCTGGGGCAGAACAGTTTCCAAACCACACAGTAACACATGACATTATGATACTCTCCACCGCACACCTATAGAAAGATGTAAGGACTGTGATGCCCAGACCAGCCCGCTTGAGCCTCCTCAAGAAATACAGCTGTTGATTGGCCGCCTTTATTATACTCATGGCATTAGTATGCCAGGTTAGGTCATGGTCGATGTTTATCCCTAGATATTTGAAACTAGGGACGACCTCAACAGGTGTTCTTCCAATACAGATAGGAACAGGAATGCTTCTAACGACCCTCCTAAAATCGACAATCATTTCCTTTGTTTTCTTAGCATTAATGCAGAGGTTGTTAGCTCTGCACCAAGCCTCCAGTTGCTAAACCTCTGCTCTATACTCAGTCTCATCATTGTTGGAGATTAGCCCCACCACTGCTATATCATCTGCAATATTCACAATGTGGTAGCTTGAAAATGTTGCTGAGTAGAGCAGTCTGTCTCCTATTTGTTAAGAAGTCCAATACCCAGTTGCATAATGCTGGACTCAGCCCGAGTGCCTGTGACTTGTGCACCAGTGTTTGTGGTATGATTGTATTAAAAGCAGAGCTAAAATCAAGAAAAAGCAGTCTCACATAAGAGTCCCTCTTTCCAGGTGGCTGAGGGTCATATGTAGAATATACGAGATGGCATCCGCAGTACATCTGTTCCCCCTATATGCGTACTGGTGGGGGTCAATGCTGAAGGCGATTCCCTTTTAAAAAAAATTGTTCCATGATTAACCGCTCAAAGCACTTCATAACTATCGGAGTTAGTGCTACTGGGCGGTAGTCATTCAGGCACGCAACTGATGAAGTCTTTGGAACAGGGATAATGGTGGCAGATTTAAAGCATGATGGTACCTTGGCTTGAACGAGTGAGATGTTGAAGATGTCAGTTAGTACCTCAGATAGCTGGAATGCACAGTCTTTCCGAACCCGGCCTGGAATGTTGTCTGGGCCAGCTGCCTTATGAGGCTTGACTTTCAGGAGGGACCTCCTGACATCCATATGGTTACACTAGGAAGCAGAAAATACAAAAATGGTGTGCACATCCCAAACACCCAAATTGGGCTCAGGTGAAGGACAACTAAGTGATAAACAAATAAACAAATGTGTGTGAAGTGTGAAGTCCGCACACTGAAAATTACTGCTCCAAAAGAATTTATTAAAAAACAACGTTTCGACCCTCAGGTCTTCATCAGGCACAAGGAGACAGCACATCCAATGAGAATACAAGTCTGGTGCTAGAGGAAGTATTAAGGGCTTGAAAGCAAGCATAAAAGTTATTGAGAGTATCAGGAAGAGATGAATCCCTATGGCATTCAGTGTCTATTGGCTCGTTTCCACTGAGCGGTACGGTACGGTACAGTTTGGTACGGTACGCAATTATTTGCGTTTCCACTGTCTAAAGTTGTGAATGGTACCAAAAAGCCGAACCGTACCAGTATATAGACCGTTATAGACTGTGATGGCCTTGATGCCTGCCCACATGGTCCGGGGGTCGTTGCTAAAAAAAAAAAAAGACCCTGTATCTTTGCATCATACACAACCTTGGCTCTTTTAACACCCGCAGTCAATTTCCTTCTGCTGCTGCATCACCAGACCTCCATGGAGAATCCCAGGCTCCCAAAAGAGCTCTAACATCAACATTCATCCAAGGTTTCTGGTTCGGATGGGTAGTAATTATTCTTGTAGAGGTAACCTCATCCACACACTTATCCACACACAAATACATGAAAAATTTGAGCGATTTTCAAGAGAATAAAGCTCATTGGTTCCTATGCTTGAGCTTCCGTTTACCTTATTTGAATGCTATATGTAAGTTGTTCGTTGATCTTGTGATGGTTCTTGATGGTTTTTGAATCAAATAGCATGTAATTGCATACTGTATGTTTCCTCACTGGAAAAGTGACAACCTAAATGTGCTTCATGTTGTAACAATTAAGTTAACGGTTTATGAGTTTGTGGGTACAAACTAAAGGTATGGTTTACAAATCTGAGAGCACAGAGTGGGAACTTTTAGGTGCAGTTTAATAATCCATTGGCACAATCTGTTAAAACGAGGGAACAATTTAAGAATCTGTGAGATTTTACGGTTTATAAACTGAGGGGATGAATTGCAAAACCATGGCCATGGATTTCTCCTACAGGTGACTTCAAAGGCTCAGTAAAACATACTTTGTTTTGGCCTTATCCCCAAGCAGAATTGTACTTTCACCTGTATTTTCTCAGTTTCATCCATGAAGTAGTCGTAGAACTTAGTGCACAGAGTTTCTGGCTGTGTCTCAGACATTACTTACCCTACACATGATAACAGAACTCGCCCAAATGCCCACACATTCTGATTAAGTATTGCGATTAAGAATTAAAACAAAACAAATTGACCTGGAGCATCTTTGAATAATAATATAAAGCTATAAAGAGATAAGGAGTTAAAAATTAACAAGTTTAGTCTAAGTAGGTCTTAAAGAAAACATTAGGTTATAAAAATCAGATCCAGTGTTCTCATGTTGTTTTTAATACTAATTTAAAGACAATATCTTACATAGGAGTAAAGAAATATTTTAAGTCTAAAAATCTTAATAAAATTACAAAATGCAACAGTACAAATCAGACATTAAAAAAACCCCTCAAATTTTATGTTTACAAAGATCTAAAAACAAACAAACGGATCTTTACATAGTTCTACATAATGTGCAAAATTACGGTCAAGAGTCTGCATTTTTTTCGTGGGAATGCTTACCTCCATATTAGTATTTTTTTAAATACTAAAGATTTATACAAACTCGGAATTTCATGAAAGCTCTGGAACGTCAGGTACAAAGAACCACCACAACAGTAGCATCAACAGCTAGGTAGCAACTTCTGCACCATGGTGCCATTTTATAGTCGGTGTGCCTGATGCATTGGTCTGAAAGACTTCGCTAATTGCTTGGCAAGTGCAATTTTCTTTCCTGTGCTGATATAGTACTTCCTGTTAAAACAGGAAATTGTGGCGAAACATTAGTTTCACATGTTCTTTAAACATTTTGCAAAAGCATATAGTGTTAAAATAGTATTGTGATGAAATATTTTGCTGTCATCAACAACAAAGTCTCACATTAATCTAATTTGGTATTCTGAGCACTGCCATCAAAACAAACCATTTCAGAATAATTAGAGTCCGTAGACATGAAAAGCTTCAAGTATAATTAAGTAGAGTCATCTACATTTTAACACGAGGTGAACGCATCATTATAGCTAAAAATAGCAGCTTTTGTGTTGTATTGCTACAGTGATGAAAGGTTTTGATCCACTTCAAATGTTGACTACTGTAGTTCTGAAATCTTGCATTACTCATGTTGCTTCACCCCTGTGATTATCAGAACAGGTTACATTATAAACAATGCTTTACATAAATAGGGTCCGTCAAGTGTTATAAATGCGTTGCAATTATTTTGGCCTCATCCTCTATAGTGAGCGTTGGATTGTCATACATCTCCAAACTTCTATCCTTGGTTTTAATGGCATCCGTCTCTTCATCCTTCTCTTTTTCTGCGCAACACTTGCAGCAGCAGCAGCAGCGAGTCCTGCAGAAAGTCATGACGGCGGTAACCACTCTGTCCCAGGGTTTGAGGGAGTGCAACGGTTTGGGCAAGAAGTCCCAGCTGCGGAGGAATGAGGGCAGGAAACGCGGCCAGCGATTCTGCATGATGTTCACTATGACCACAGCGATCGCAAAGACCACAACAGGCACTCCGACCCCCACCAAGACCTGCCACCCCGCAATGGAGAGGCCCAGGACTGACAGAGGGAAGAGCAGGAAGCACAGGACGAGATACACCGCCGCGAACCAGCGGTACTTGGCCGTGTGGTCGCCCAGAGCTTTGGCCATTCGGATAGGGATGCGCGTGAAGGGGATGGGATACCACAGTAGGATTCCACAGATGTTGAAAAAGAAGTGACAGAGAGAAATCTGGAAGAAAATACAAATGATAATCAGTGTTCAGAGTAATACAAATCAAAACAGCAACTTGAACTAGAACTTTATAATAGGGGTGAAACGGTGCATGTATTTGTAACGAACATTATATACTACATTATACTGTAACAAGTATTTCCGTTTCGGATAAAGGATTAGCCTGACAGCAAGCGAGTCTACGTTTGACTTCGCAGAATTTAGTGATCCATCAAATTGTGTGACCGTCTACGTACAGTATAGTATGTGCTGTAGTGACGGTAGGATTCGGGTTAGTGTTGGGATTTGGCTTATGGTGACAACAGAACCTCGTAAGGTCACGAAATGCGGTGAAAAACTGGCACGGACATGCATGTAAAAATAGACGGAGTGGATTAGAACACAATAATTTGTAACCTTAAGGTCCTTGAACACAGAGTCAGAAATTCTCGTCCGCAATTTCCGCACGTTAAAAAAATAAATACGACCTCACGTTGTGTCAATCACGTTTACACACTGCCTCCGAAACTTTCGTCCGTCATAAAATTCAGATCGGATTTGCTTTTCTGCGTTTTTCGCATCGTAGCAAGCAATTTGACAATTCAGAAAAAACACATACGAAGATTTCGGACTCAGTGTGCAAGGACCTTTACTCTAAATTATTCTGCTAACAAAATTTGCATCCAAAATTGTTATGGTGCGTTCACACCGGACGCGAATAGCGCGTCAGGCGCGAGTGATTTCAATGTTAATGCAAAGACGCGTTATGCGCGTAAAAAATTCCTGCGGCGCGAATGACGGTACTGATCCACTTGTCCGTGCGACACTTCAGTCGCGCCGCACTCCACTTTATTCCTATGGGTGATGTCACGCGACTTTAACGCGCCCGCAAAGCATCCCGGGAAGGCGGCGCTTCATTTGGAAAAATGCTGCGCGTCAAAAAGCTGGCCGATACCCATCTTTATGCAAATGAATCCGTCAAACGCGACGCGTCTATCCAATAGAAGTAGTCTCTCGAGGGGCCTTTGTTCTAGACTGGCCGCTGGGTCAAAACCACGCCCATAGCGGTAAACTTGAGGAACGCCCATCAACTTACAAATGTGGAAAGGCGTGCGACACCACGCTTCAGTCGTGTCGCAAAAGTGGATCAGTACCGTGAGGCGTAGAGCGCGGCGCGGTAGACGCGAATACGCCTCATTCGCGCGTCAAGTTCGCGCGAATGGCGCGAATTTAGCGTCTGGCGCGTTACACGCAAATGATTTTATTAAGTGCTTTTTGTGCATTCACGCGTTTGATGCGAATTCGCGTCTGCCGCCCGAGTTGAAAAATCTGAACTTTGGCGTCAATTCGTGCCGCGCTAACCAATCAGGAGCCTAGCTGCTTTCTGCTGTCCCGTTGTGAAGTATCCCGATGCTTCAATAATTGTTTTGTAATATGACTAAATGCCTGTGTGGTTCTAATGCACAACAAAGCAAATATTTTATCACATAAAACTTGATTTCAATATATGAGACATTCATTTTGTATTGAATGCTATTTATTCCATATCTAGATTATATGAAATATTATTATAATGTAAAGACAACCAACATACTATAGTGCATAAGGGTGATGCACTATAGGGTGATCCTCGCTCCGATGCGGGACAACAGGTCATCAAACTGGGAGCGGGACGGGCGGAAGTACCGCTGAAAGCGGCCGTCATCCAGGCGCAGCTCCGAAGGGTCTGGTGGACACAAATACGGCGACGATGATCCCTACGCCGCTGTTCTGCTCTCCAGAGCAAATACAGAGCGGTGACTCTCCCGATGAATGCTCGATCAAAATAAAAAAAATGGCCGCCAACGGGTTTCGAATCCAACGCACGTAAATTTCGCTTCAAACTTTTGTTTTTACGCGCGTCAGTTTCACTCTTGACGCGCGAATTAACACAAAGTGGTCAAGCGTCAAACTAGACGCGGTAGACGCGAATTTGACGCACTATTCGCGTCCGGTGTGAACGCACAGTAAGAACTTCAAATCTCTTCCCCAAATTACAAAGCACCATAAACGATTTGTTGTTGTCGATTGAAGCATTATTGACAGTATGTTATTTAAAGATAGGCATAGTTTGCTCAGTAAACTGTTTATTAACTGTTTATTATGCTTAGTTTTTTTCCCACTGCTCTACCGAAAAGATACCAAACCTTGAATTCAATACCGAGGTACGTACTGAACTGTGATTTTTGTGTACCGTTACACCCCTCTTATTCTCCCAGCAGGGCAGTAACAAACCTGCAGTGAGTTAGCCAGTGTCTCTCCAGGACTGGCTAAAGCAGCTAGAATAGCAGTGGTTGTTGTGCCAATGTTGGAGCCCAGCGTGAGTGGATAAGCCCTCTCGATGCTTATGACACCAATACCTGAACAGGAAGAAAAAGGCGCCAAGGTTTAAGTAAATAACATTTACCCACTTGGCATGTTAAGTGTCACAATATACAGCAGTGATGGGAAGAATGATTGGTTCATTAGGTTATTCACAAATAATTTATTATGACCTTCTACAGTTTTTATAAATAGAAATCATCAACAATCAAAAACGTTACAGACCAAGTCATCTTAAATGTAACCAACTTAATGATTACCAAGGCTGCACTTCATCAAAAATACAGTAAAAACATCAATATTGAGAAATTATTACAATATAAAAAAAGTGTTTTCTATGTGAATATTTTAAAATGCAATTCATTCCTGTGATCAAAGACGAATTTTCAGCATCATTACTCCAGTCTTCAGTGTCACATGATCCTTCAGGAAACACTCTAATATGATCATTTGATGCTCAAGAAACATTTTATAAATGTTGAAAACTGTGATGCTTAATATTTCTGTGAAAACTATGATATATTTCTTGATGAATAGAAAGATAAAAAGAACAGCATTTATTTGAAATCTAAATCTTTTGTGACATGATGTCTTTACTGTCACTTTTGATCAATTTGATGTGCTTTTGCTGAATTAAAGTTAATTTCTATCAATCATTCAGTCATTAAATTGCCTTTACCAAGGACACAAGCAGTCTCTGAAATGCTAGGTAAAACCTCTAAGTAAGTATTTTCTTGGGTCAAATGCAATTGTAACTCAACCTGCACCATTTTGACCACCAGCCCGATCAATATGACTAACACCGGCATGAAGACCTGCAGATGTACTTGTATGGCAGTTAAAGGGTTTCTCTACTGACCGACTAGTGGAGTGATGGCTGAGGTGAAGACCGAGCTGCTCTGAACAATGAAGGTCATTCCCGCTCCAACAAGGATGGCAAGATATCCCGTGAGCCAGGCGAAGGGAAAGGGGAAATCTGGCAACAGTTAAAGCCGTATTAGAAAGGTCATGAACAATATGTTTAGTATGAAAAAAAAATGAAAAAGTATCAACTACTAAACTTGAAACTAAAAGGTTAAAGTTAGTGAACTTGTTACAAATCCTACCACCTTTGGACCACAAAGTGTTTCCATGGACTGACAAAACTACTTGGCACTTAACCATAAAAATATTATATAAAATGAATGTCGGTTTAATTATAAAATTTACTTCCTTTGTAATTTTGTGACATTGTCACATAAAAGGCATGTTTTACCGCTCTATTTATTACAATGATTTTATGTATAATAGAGTTTTAATTGGTGTACATGTTTTCTTAGCCATTTTTATTTAAAGTCTGGATTCTGAAGAAGTGGATTCTGATTGGCTGTCGATGGTTTTATCAATCATGAGCTAAAAAGAAAAGTGATTCCAGTGATGTCGTTCCTCTGTGTAATGACTTATGGTGGTGGTGTGGACTTCACTATTCTCATAGACTTAGAACAACTACTAAAACTTCATAGAATTAGAACAATTACTTAACATTCATAGCTAAAGTCCTTGGTGTGAAAGGGCCTTTACACAGCAAACCTTCATAAAAGTGACTTTGTTCATTGGCATTATTAATGGCTACCTCTTAGGGGCCAAATGGGAAGGAGTGATGAGGGAGGATCATATAATGACAATGGCAGAATTCAGAATACTATTCTTACTCTTTATCTCATGTAGCAGATTAGTAGCTAGATTAATTAGTCGGGTTCATCAATTGTTAGTGGTTGGGCTGTGACGGTTGCATTGGTTAAACTGTAAGTACAGTAGGTGGGTGTACCCGAGTGTCCTCTGATAGCAACAGCACATACACACACCACTCATATAATGTTCCTGTTCAGCTCATCAGGCAGCAGGACTGAATCACCTGTGCTGACTATCATATGACAGGATACATGCTCACACACTTACACCTACAGGAATGTGCTGAGAAGGAAGAATTACCAAATGTATGTTTTTATTGCAGGGTCAAAATTTGCCACATGTGTCTTTGTCTTCAACTCTGAAAACCTCCAGTGGAAAAGTCACAAGAGTGCGTATCACGGGTTAATATTAGCAATTAGCGCAGAGCTTATCAGCAGAAGATTAATCTCTGATGTTGACTCACCTGTGTTGAGCACCTTTTTGATGACGACCGCCACCTGACCCTTCAACATGGAGTTCAGCAGCTTGACGATCAGAATGAGGCAGGTACAGAGAGCCAGCAATGACAGAGCCAACAAAATCAACCCCACGGCCAGGTCAGGTAGATCCGCGAACACGAACATGTGAGTACCTGACGAGAGAGATGAGGACGGAAATCATGTTGGTCTGCATCAGTTTTAGAGGATTTGGGGGCATATCGGCTAGAAAACCAGCAAACCACCCTAGGTTGGGTTAGTTGGTTTGTCATGCAACATTGAGTAACTAAAATACCTTTTTAGATTATTTTATTTACAAATACAATCACTTGTAATACGATTCAATTACTTGAATTACCAATAGGTGGCACGGTTACCAAATTGATGTTGTGTGATCAGTGTGATGACACAATATGCCAAAGCGGTGCAGAGTTACAGCCTCAGAATCAGCTTGGCACCAGGCCATCACATTTGTTGAAGTGTTATTCAAGAACGGTTTGGTCAATTGAAAAGCTTTTAATAACTTTTTGTCAGAATGGTCTGAAGATGATCTGTGCCGATTTTGGTGAAAATCAGACTAATGGTTTAATGGTAAAAAAAAAAAAAATGCAGCAAGTTCGAGCGAATATGGCATAATTGGTGTCATTGTTCGCAGTATTACAGTAACAAGGAATCTATCAAGATCAGTTTCATTAAACTAGACAAAATTAATAAAAACGTATTATATATATTTTTAATTTCATTACCAATTGACCAGAAATGTTGAGTACCTTCATGACACAGTCCTGATGATGACACAGACCAAGTTTTGTAACGATGCGCTAATGCGTTCTTAAAATGCAGCATTTTATGACAATTTTCAAACTGGCAGATATGGGATAATTGGGTATCATTCGATTCGGCATGCTGCACTGAATTAAAAGAGACCAGTTTTATGATTTGAGCAAACAGTTCAGACGTTAGAAGCAAAAATAGCCATTTTCATATCTCTTGACTAGTAGCTGGCGAAGTGCCCAAACCCTGAATGTAGCCTAAGTTGTGATGACGTACCAAGACTTGTCTCAATACGCTAAATCATTGCAAAGATATAGTCTAGAAGTTGTAGACAGCTATTCGATATAGCATCCAATTTGCCGTTCTCTTCGTTAAAATCGTTTGCACGTTACTTGAGAGTGGTTAGGTTTATCAAAAGGCTTTTTTCATAACTTTTTGTTTTGCAAATCGGAAGAACTGTCAAGGACAAGTTCAAAAAAGCAGGTTTTTGGAAAAATTCAAAATGGCTGAAAAATGGTCCTGGTGAATGCAATTGAATCGTCTTGAGCCAAGGAACCAGAGGGGAAGTTTCTTGCCCTTACAGTTCAAAAGTTGAAAGTATAAAAGTTACTGCAACTTCGAACAGTTGGTGGAGCTAGAGGGATTTAGTTAGACACTCCAAATTTGCTGTGGTTAATGTTCAGATTGTCCTCTATCGGTGTGCTAAATATATAATTTTCCCGCAAGAGGTTCTATGGGCTGCCATAAATATTGGTGCTTGGCCCCTAATGTTACTGCAAAATCTTAAAAGATACAAAGGGCTATTTTAAGATATTAAGTACAGATTATGCTAATGAGATTATTATGTTACTACTAGTAGTTGGTTTCTTTATTTTATAGTTCAATCATTTTTAAAATCAGGCAAGGGGCTGCAAGGGTGTCTGTTACAAAGGTTCAGAGAAAAATAGTGTAAAAATGTATTAAAAACAACCAAAGAAATATACCATATATAGCTGCCTTGGTGTTTTAAGAAGGTGGTTCCTTGCAAGGGCATTAACAAATTTGGGGGTCATTGAAATCAGTTTGAAAACCCCTGATATAGTTTACTGAAAATGTTTAAAAGATTCTCAGTCCGGGAAGTGCTGGACTGAGGTGCTCCTTAAAGAGCCAAGCATACTCTTTCACAGTTGAAGGACTCAATGATTAAATACTCGAGTCCACTCAACCAAGTCAAGGCTGGAATTTCAACATGGTATCTAACTGCTAGCATTGATTTAAAATCACCCAAATTTATACCCAGAGGAAAAGTCCTTTGTTCAGGTACGCTGGCCTCGGCTGTCATGAAGAATAGCCCCATTGAAAAGGTAGAGTAGATGGATGGGATAGGGGGAAAGGTGAAGCTAAGATCTCCCTCAGCATTTAAGAGAAGCCATTGTATTCATGGCTGTTAGAGTGAGTCAATGGCTTCAAGCTAAAATAAGTGAACTATGCAAGGAAGAGAACGGGAAATGGACTGATTTTAGGCTTTAGCTGTTGATCCAGGAGGGTCCTGTGATGGTTGCTAAAAGATCCACATCAAACAGAGCAGAGACACTCACATTTTTTTAAGTTGATCGTTTCTGTTTGGTTCTCTTGAGTCCAGACCTTGTTGTCGTCCATCCAGCAGAGAGCATTAGGGGTGCAGTTTGCAATTCCAGGGACTGTTATATTCACAAGGTTCTGAAATGGACGAAGAGTAAATCCTCAGACTGAAACGTCACATACGAGACAGATCATTTAAAGCTTTTGTTGTAGCTGGCTGGCTATCTAACAAATACATACAGAACGTATTACGGTGTGGAAATATATGCATAATATACATACTACCATAATATATGCCAAGAAGTTGGCATTCCTATTAGGGGTGGAACGGTACACAGAAGTCACGGTTCGGTTCATACCTCGGTTCAGACATCACGGTTCGGTACGATTTCGGTACAATGGAGTGAAAAGCAAAGCAAAAATGCAGAAGGCATTTTTATAAATGTCTTAAACCTTGTATTTTTTTAAATAAGTTTTATTAATAAAGGCATAGAACCAGTTTATTTGTAGTGCACTGGCAGTAGTTTTATATAATTAGTTTATTAATTAAATTATTAAAAAGACGAAAAGACCTTGAGATATGTTTGGTAATTGTACCTGAATGAATTTAAAATTAATTTGCTATTTCAGATCAAGATATTTGTTTTCCTTCATTTTAATTAACTAACTTTATTCTCATCTGAATTATAAATAATTGATTTCCGTATAAAATACTACCATAAAAACTTTTGTTAACAGTTGTAGGTTACAGTTTGACAAGAGTTTAGAGTGTGACAAAAGCACAATGTTGTGTTTTATTGCCAGTGTACACAAATATAAGTAAACAATTTGCAGTTTTAATGATGTCCTGTATGAAAAAAATGACGGAGTATGTTTTTACGTTTCCACTGTTCGATCGCCCGTGCCTCTCTCTCTCTCACACACACACACACACACACACACACACACACACACACACACACACACACACACACACACTGTTCATCGCGCGATTCGCGCCCGCGCCTCTCTCTCTCTCTCGCACGCGCGCGCACACACACACACACACACACACACTGTTCATCGCGCGATTCGCGCCCGCGCCTCTCTCTCTCTCGCACGCGCGCGCACACACACACACTGTTCGATCGCGCCTCTCTCTCTCTCGCACACACACTGTTCATCGCGCCTCTCTCTCTCTCTCTCTCTCTCTCTCTCTCTCTCTCTCTCTCTCTCTCTCTCTCTCTCTCTCTCTCTCTCTCTCTCTCTCTCTCTCTCTCTCTCTCTCTCTCGCGCGCGCACACAGACACACACACTCCTGCATTGCAATCTTGATCGCATCCTGTTCATTGCTGCGTTAACAGTCACACCAAAAGCGAATAGAGCGAAATTTATCGCTATTTAAGAGTTTTTTTTTTTTTTTGTGTGTGTACCGTGTATTCTGCGTGCAAATTCGTGCACCGAACCGTGACGCCCGTACCGTTTCGGTTCAATACGAATACATGTACCGTTCCACCCCTAATTCCTATACTTAATACTAAAACGTGTCAATGAAAATAGTTCAAAAACTAAAAATGGTCTATTTTACACAATATTTGTGTGGTGTGTATATTTATGCATAGAGTATGATGCCACTTTGTAGGTCAATTGGCAGTTCGCATCACACCGGTTCCCTCGACAAAAACCCAATAGGATTTTTCCATAAGCTTTTGGATTATCACAAAAAACAAGCTCTGTCATAAACAAACGTTTGACACACGTTTTCCATTAGGAGACAATTATCTCAGATGAACACAACTTATGAATTTTGAAGATATGGAGCTTCAAATGCAGTCGTCAGAAGTAAAAAGCTAAAGGCTATAAACAAACCACACCACGGTCCCACGACTTCAACGTCGCCATCACTAATCTTCCCACAACTCTTTCAGCTCTTATCTAAAAACACTTTCCCAGAGCGTTTGAGTTAGAATAGTTTATAAGAGCCCAGTTATAAGCATGACGATGCTGTAAAAGCGACTGAGTTTACATGTTCAGCGTGAGGACGTTTAATCTCCTCGACAGCCTCTGTAGTCCCATTAGCCACTGGTTACCACCGCCTTTTTCAAGACACAGATTAAAACACATCACGAGTGGGGTAATACTGATGTATTTTACGTCGTAGAATAAAACGTGAAAGTGTCTTGAGCTTGTGTTCACCACAGACCTTATTTCATTGATTCAACCAAAACCCCATTCAAAAAACCCATTGACTTCGGGACGATGGAACCGGAAGTGCTAAAATGCTAACTCGCGTCCACGTTTTGGTCAACAAAGTGTGTCATCATACCACGCACCACTCTATGAAATGATGACGAAACGCAAAGACTAAAAACTGATGCACCTCTTGATGGAAATAACATCACAACATTTATTTCAAACATCATACTTGCACCACTCTATTAGAGTATCACATTGTTAGCTTAGCAACATGCTAACACTATTACACTGCATACTGTCTGAGTAGGTACTACATTTAAAAAAATTAATTTGCGACCGTTAACAAAGTATGCTCTATATAGTATGAATATGGATAGTATGAATGAAATTGATCTATGATCTATGGCGTCTGGTGCGTCGCTTCACTTCATAAATCCTCTCCCGTGGCCTCATGGGATAGTAAAGTGTCCATCAGATACACACTTCAGAATCTCACTGGAAGTAGTAGGTCATCCAGGGACTTTTCGCCTACTGACATACGTCTTTGGGCTAACTGTTTTTTTGCCTACTTTTATAGTAGGGAAGTATTTGATTTTGGATGCAGAGTTAGTCTATGTGTTCTGTCCATTAGGATAACTTTTTTAATGAAGTTCAAAAAGGCAGCAAGGGAGTGTGCTAAGTTTCGAAACAGAGCAACAGCTAAGATATCTGTTATCTCCTAACAAAATGTATCATGAATTTAGATAAAAGTCTTGCATATCTGTATTTGTATATACAAAAATAGACCCAATGTTTCTCTTTTGAATTCCCATCAGCATGATAAATCCTATTTCCTCATGTTTTAACAGCCTAATCTGGTGACTGACGATAAATAGTGCTGGACTCAACCCATTTTCAGTTCTCTCACCGTGACTTTTTCCGTTTTACACCAGATCTTGATCAAACTTTTGTTCCGGGCCGCAGGGTCTCCAGTGGCGATGTCACGGATCACAGAGGTATCCAGCTGGAAGAACAAGGTTCTCAATAAAGATACTTGAGGTAGCAAACGGTAGAGAGCAAAGCAAGTTCATAGAGATCATTAGCTATTCAATTGTCTAAATACACTTTTGGGCGTCAGATTTTGAACCACCCAATGTATTGCAACAGAAATATTGGTGTGTCCTCTTGGGAAGTCTGTATTTACAAGTTGGGAAGTCATAATTATGATGTCAGGTGCGTTCATGTCACTTTGGTGGAGTAAAGGCCCTGATATACAGTCAGTTCATCAGGTGTGTTTTTGCTTCAAGTTATTATTAAATTTATGAAGGAGCTGTAAACTGAATTGTTATATATTCTATCATATTTTGGACATGCAACTTAGCATATAAAAAACAAAAACCAGTCTTTTTAAACACTTTAACAAATTTACCGTCAATAAAGAAGCTGTTTCCATTGCGCTCGTGTTATTTTCTCACTGACGCATCCCCAACTTTGAAACTCTAGGCTCAATTTTTAGTTTTCCCACTTGTAACAATTACATTGTGGTGGCCTTCATGTGCCATAATCATAAATACAATCTTTCTGATATGACTTGAAGTCACCATATGAACCAAGTAACTGACAAAATTGTTGCAGCTGCTAACAATTTGTTGGGCGTTAATTTATGGGACAATAACAATGACAAAACTAGATGTGACGAATGAGTTTATGCAAAGGAGTGACAGCAAAGGAGCTTATATGATCAGCTTCCCGACACAGATTAAGTAACAGCTACTAGATAAACCAACAGGTCTACTTCATAAGCACTGATGTTGACCTCACCTCAATGATGTTCTTGGTGAGGGGTTCAGTGATGACCTTTAACAGTTCCGGAGCGTCTGCACCGCTCTGAATGTTAAAGGAGTCGATCACAAGTTCGGTGAGCTTGTAGAGGAATCCTGAGGCCCACTCCAGAGGCAACAGCACCAGGACAGAAAGCCAGTTAAAGAAGTCATGGACCGTAGCACCAGCAAATGCCCTGAACCACACAGAATGAATGTCAAACCCCATTTCTCAGATGTGCAACTCCATTTCCTTCAGCAAGTAACTTCAATGTGGCTGAAAAAGAGCCATTTCACTGCTACTTTTGCACCCCTTTATCTTATGGTAAAATAGTGTATTAGCATACAAATTAATCCAATAAGACCCTCAACAGATGTTATCACACTAATTTGGAGGCATGTTTAAAGGGGTCATGAAATTGATTAGTTTTATTATTTAATATGTTCCTTGAGGTTCACTTATAAATGTTAATAAAAAAAAATTCCACAAAATACATGTGTGGAAAAACTACTTTTAACCCTCACTCTGACCCTCTGTCTGAAATGATCAGTTTTTAAGGCTTGTCAGCAAACGGCCACTGTTATAATTGGCTAACGTCATTGCCTAAGAAACCGTATCAATGCCCACTCGCTATTGCACATGAGTAAGTGTTTTGAAAACATTATCCATATAAAACCGTCGTTTACAGACAAAGCATTATGAAATCATTTACTTGCGTTTTGCAGCTGCTGTCAGATTCAATACAGCTGGCAACAAGTTTCTCTGCGAACTCTCCATTACACTGTGCCTCGATTACAAAACAAAATGCTCCGAATAAACATATAATCCTCCGACGAGATCCGGGATGCCATTAAATTAAACCATCCACTTGTTTCTGACACAGGAATCCTTCTGAAGTCTGTACAGAAATCAGCAATTTAGCTGTTTAAAATGAACGAGTCAAAATTTATATTCTTTCACTCTTCCATTTGTCCTGTTGTCGACAGAGTCAAGCGTGGAGTAAACTGAACACATGTCTGTATACTGTATCCAGTGTAGACAGCGTCTGTGATTATAATGGGTTCCCTTTTGAGGGAACTCGCGATGCGTCGATGACGCTTTGGGAACGCTCCTGCGTGATTGCGTCTGAAGCACTTATGTCAGCTAGTCCAACGGCGAGAGTGAGCATCACGGGCGGGGGACTTCACGACCAGGAAAGGATAAAAGCACATCTGGTTTAGAACCGCGCTAGATTCTGTGCCTTCAGCAAGCGCTCTATGTCGATCTGTCTCTGTCTATTTATTGTTGTTTGTCCTCAAGCATATATATTTATATATTAGACAGGAGTATGGCGAGCAAACAGCTTTGGATCGTGTGTTCGTCCCTGCCCTCGCTTCATTACGAGTGGGGACACACGCGATTCATGTGTTTGTTTGGGAGTGGAGCATGCACCATCAGCTGTAGTAAATTGGGGCTGACAGTGTTCATTCATAAATTCCCGACGTGTAACAAATGCACTATCGAGAGTTTTAGCTCTGCTCTTGTTGGCTTTCTTCTTGAGGGAAGAAAGCCAATAAAGATTATTTGGCTCGGATCTCGCGTGTGCCGAGGCAGCGTGTAGATTACGGGTCTGCAATAAAGATTCTGTGACTCGATCTCGGATCTCGCGTGTGCCGAGGCAGCGCGTAGATTACGGGTTTGCAATAAGAATCTATTGGCTCAGATCTTGTGTTTGCCGAGGCAGCGTGTAGATTATGGGTCTGCATCTGCAATAATTAAGTGGCTTTATCTCACGCTTGCCGAGGCAACGTGTAGATAATGGTCCGCAATGTATAATATGCGCAGGGAACTGAGCAGAGGGGAATTTCCCTTTCTCTCATTCTCTATTATTGTGTGCAAACTAATTTTGTTCTCTTTATTGTTTGAGACTGTCTATATTAATACACTATATTCAGCCTTTTAACTAGACCGTTTCTACTTGTCTTGTTGATATTTGGCTGCATTTATTTTTTGAGAAAATTAAATATGTACTCATCTATCTTTGAGGAGTCATTTAATTCTGAGGAAATAAATGGCTAGTTCCCAGGGGGAAGTGGAAAACACCTCATTATACGGTGCCCATCTCCCTCTGGTGCCCTCCAGCGAGTTCTAGTCTCAGTGTCTGACTCGCAGAAGGGGGGTTTAAGAGGGGTCAGTTTGGTTATATCCTGCCAGTCATTCGTTTCAGGACGCCGGATTGGCTTCTCAAGATATACTAGAGACCAGTCTCGAGAGGGTGGTTCCTTTAGTATTCTCAGCCGTAGTCGTCTTGGGATAAGACATATCTGAGGACAGTCGTTCTCTTGAAGAAGGCTTCGACTAAGAAGAAGTCCTGACGCAGAGGCTATCAGGCTTCTGAGGGTGGCTCCCTCCGGGGAGAGACGGGTTTGAGAATCCGTGTCTCCTCGGCACCCTCTGGGGGGCGACACTCTGAGGAGGGTCGCAGTGCTGCCAGTTTGGTTTTTCCTTGCCGGTTCGCCGTTTCAGGGTACCAAGGTGTCAGCATCCCCAAACAATCCTCCGAGGAGGGTTGTAAAGCAGTCAGTTCGGCTGTTCGCTACGTGGTGGACCCCGAGCAGGCTCTGGTTATGTTATCATTTGAGATTAAAAAACTCCTTGTACAGGATAGAGTGTCGTTTCCTGTGCTCCCCCTCAGATAGATTGGGGACCAGGATGGCATTCTCAACAGAAGCCTTTGAAGCAGAAGATGGATCTGAGGACCGTTGTTTCTGCGAAAAAGGTTTCGGCCAAGGTCCTGACGTCACTGGTGTCAGACCTCTGAGGGCAGCCCTGACTGGTGTGGAGCGGTGTACATCTCAGTATACGGTGCCCGCCTCACCTCGGTGCCCTCAGGAGGCCTTTTTGCCAACCCCGCCACCCTTGGTACCTCGGGGCGCAGCGGTCTCCAGCGAGCACATGGCTCAGTGTCACCACGACGCTGTGTCAAACTCGCACCCTTTGAGGGGGGTTCAAAAACAGTCAGTTCGGTTGTTTCCTGCCAGTGTGCTTCAGGTCACCGAAGTGACTGTTTCAATTACATCAGAGGCCAGTCTCGAGAGACTGGTACCCTTAGTAGATTATCTAACAGAATGGACAGGCTCTGGTAATGGAGCAAGAAGTAAAGTCTTTGTTAGCTGAGGAAGCTATAGAGCAGGTGTATTTACCCAACAGAGAATCTAGTTTTTACAGCCGTTACTTTATTGTTCCGAAAAAGGATGGGGGGTTGCGTCTTTTATTAGATCTCAGTTGAATCGTGCAGTCAAGAAATTCAAGTTCAAAATGCTGACATTCAAACAGATTGTGACTCAAATCAGATCCGAGGACTGGTTTGTCACGATGGATCTAAAAGACGCATACTTCCATGTCTCCATCCTCCCTCAGCACAGGAAGTTCCTCAGGTTTTCTTTCGGGGGCAAAGAATACCAATATCGGGTACTTCCATTCGGTCTAGCTCTATCACCCCGCACGTTCACGAAGGGCGTAGATGAAGCTCTGGCCCCGCCCAGGCTGCAGGGTATACTCATTCTGAACTACTTCGACCACTGGCTGATTCTCCGGAATCGGAGCAGTTAGCGGTTCGGTATCGAGATGTCGTCCTCGCTCACATGAAGAAATTGGGGGTTGAGACTCAATGCCAAGAAGAGTGGGCTTTTTCTCCATTACAGAGAACCACTTTCCTTGGTGAGGTATGGGATTCAGTCACAATGCGAGCCGTCCTATCGCCCGCTTGTGTAGCTGCTATCCTCACAGCCAATGTAATAGGGTCCAATGTAATACCCTTTGGCCTGCTGTACATGAGACCTTTGCAGTGGTGGCTCAGGACCAGAGGGTTCTCCCCGAGGGGAAACCCACTCCGTACGATCAAGATCACGCGGCGGTGTCTCCGCGCCTTGGTTATATGGAGGAAACATTGGTTCCTGTCCCAGGGTCCAGTGTTGGAAGCTCTTTACCATCAAGTTGCGATTGCGACAGATGCTTCCCTCACCGGCTGGGGAGCGGTAATGGAAGGCTGTTGTGCCAAGAGAGTCATCATCTCTCTTGGCACAAAAATTGCCTGGAGATGATGGCCGTCTTCAATGCGTTGAGACATTTCCTCACAGACCTGAGGGCATCAGAATGTAGGAGCAGACATCCTGTTGAGGCAAGGGCTGATGCCCGGGGAATGGAGGCTCCACATCGAGGTGGTGGAGCACATTTGGGGGTTTTATGGCCAGGCACAAGTGGATCGGTTCGCGTCTCAGGATACAACGCACGGTCCACTCCCTCATACACCCAGCTCCCTTGGGGCTTGACGTTGTGGTATAGATATGGCCGAGGCTACGCCTGTACGTCTTTCCCCGATTACTCTGCTCCCAGGAGTTCTGTAGGAGGTCCACCGGGACGGAATAAGTCTACTACTAGTAGAACCGTACTGGCCAAGCTGACTGGTTCTCGGACCTGGTGTCTCTCATCGACAGCTCTCCCTCGGAGATTTCAGTCAGGAGGGACCTTCAGTCTCAAGTGGAAGGGGTGACCCTTCACCCCAGCCCAGAGATATGGAACCTGTGGGTTTGGCCTCTGAGGGGGCCCAACTCATTGTCTTCTCTCAACTGAGGTTGTGGACAGTGTTGTGCTAGTTACTAAGAAATAGTAACTAGTTACAGTTACTAGTTACTTCGTTCAAAAAGTAACTCAATTACTTTGTTGATTACTTACACCAAAAAGTAATGCGTTACTGTTAAAAGTAACTTTTTAGTTACTTTTTTAAAGAAAGTTCTTAAATGTTCCCATTAATGCCCTTTAATGCGTTATGGTCTATACAAACACAAAACTGACTTAAACAGAAAGTAATTTTTAAACACTATTTTATTTAAGTCAGACCAGCACAAACTGAATATATCAAGGATTTCTGAAATAAATAACAAAACAAGCATTTTTAAAGTTAGTGACTTGTTTGCTTTCTCAACATTGATATGTTCATGCAGCTGACAGTATACGTTTTTACCACTGTGGTTTTTACTGCATGAATTAATATTTGAGCAATACAATTGTACCTTGATCATTCTCGTTAGTTCATAGTAGGCCTACATTAACTAAGGAGATACAAATACACCTAACAATGAATGATACTTCTACAACATTTATTAACCATATTTAATGCTAAAATTGTTATCTTATTGTAAAGTGTTGCCATTTATA